TGCCCCCGAACTCCTCCTGGCTACCAGCCAATGGCTCACTCCAGGAAATCGCCCTGTTTGAGTGCCATGGGGGCCAGAGGCTGAGCTGACTAGGCAATCTGTTGCTTCCCGATATACCTACGAAAACACCGGTGACGACGTCAGATATCCCGAGTCTTTTCCGCACTAACCATGACACCTGTCTCGGCGACTTTCGCCCGCTAAACTTTCTCTGCTCAGCAACACCAGTGAATGTAGTATGACATACCCTCGTAACGAACCTCAATTTTTTTTCTGGAAACATTTCCCCTGACTCACTCAGAGGCAAACACTTTGCTTGCAAATCTCGGCCTTGGTATGCGTGCTCCGACAAAGGGCAGCTTTAATTATAGAACAAGAAAAAGGTTCATTTGCGCGTACGGGGGCTACGTATGTAGGTATCTCAAAACAATGCCAGCGTGGTGTAGTAGTACAGATGCAACAAAAACGCCTTGCAGCTATCCAATGAGTGTAAACAAAACGCGTCCCAATCAATCATTCCGGTCGTCATGGCTTCAGTCTTCAAGATGCAGAATCATACTCTGCTCCAAAAATGCGTTTAGCGTCTTCTTCGCTCATCTCCTCTCCCTCACCAAGCTCGGCCCACGACTTGACAATATTCGACCTCTCTCCAGCACGTCTCTTAAGAGTGCATTCGCCGTTGCCTTGACAAATCTCTTGCCGTCCAAGGTTCTTGAAACGAGGCCCCAACGGCCCATTGACGTAATGATATTGGCCCAAAAAGCGGTATTGTCGGGGGTCGCTAAGTGGGTAAAATTTGTCGCCCCAGTGGCCAGCAAAGTAGAACCACGATGTCGGCGCGACGGGGTTGAGGTTAGATGAGACAAGTCGGTCCGTTCGATAGTTGTACTTGTACGAGTACATGTTGAGTACAGGGTCCCAGAGAGGACCACGATCAGTAACGTCGTGCAGAATGCCACCTGGCAGAACATATGGATGAGTGCCTTCGGTCGCATACATGGCGTGGGTTCCCGTGGCAGAAAAGCCGATAGGCTAAATATGTGTCAGCCTAAGTCATTACATTGTGCCTTGCATTAACTTACCCTCTTCCCGCTCTTCTCTACAGCGTCCCAGGCATACGCTTCACCAAAACTATGTTCACTAAAGAACACTGCCTTTGGTTCGCCGTGGTGAAACCGGACCACCGTGTGTTCCCAGTCACCCACATGGTTGCCGAAACGCACGTTGAAGACTGCATTGCCGAGGTTGTAGCTGTAGAAGAAGAACCAGAAAGCGTCGACAACTCCGTCGCCCTTGTCTACCACGACCAATGGCACGGGTGCATCGCTGCGCCCACCTACGACCCTCTTGCCCTTGTACTTGCGGCGCACACGACGCAGTTCTGGTCGCCAATACCTGTCATCCTCATCGGCGTCGTCGACAAGTTCGTCGCCCTCGGGTGTACTTGTGGGAATGGGCCCTCCAGGAGCTGATGGGTCAGGCCGAATGCCACCTCGCCCTTTGGTATCACCCTTGCCGACGTGCCACCAACTCGACTTCTTGCTTTCCTTGTCTTCTGTGAGATGCCCTTTGGCTCCACCATCATGCTTCGGGTCATTGTCATCGTCGTCTCCGTTTCCTGGTACGCTGGGAATATTGTACTCTGCACCCAGCCACGCCGGGTGATCCTCTACATTGTCATCGCTCTGCAGATACACAAATCTGCCCCACTTGTTAAGTTGCCCAAGATTACTGATGGTTGGGTGGTCACTTTGGGCTTGGATAGGCGTGTAGTTCAGATGAGGCGTCGTATGCACCAAATGGTCAGCCATATCTCCTGGCCAGTATTCTTCTCCCGAGAACAGGTGTATCAGAGGCGCATGGTCTATAACGTATTGTGGGATCTCGAGCTCGGGATCTGGCTTGTAGTCTGCGGGAATGACCCGCGCGTCTTTCCAGAAATCGTTCAGGTCCGTCTTGTCCGACTCCTCTATAATGACCGTCTGGCCTTGTGTATCGGATGCTGCAGTAGTCCAGTGTGCTTGGTTCAGATGCGCCAGGCCACATATCCCAAACCAACTGCACGCTTTGCGATCTAGCCAAGATTTTGACGATGCAACCCATTCGGTTTCATCTGCGCGCTCATCCCCGGGTGTCAACTTGTCGAACAGGAAATCCTGGTAAAAGTGCGAAAGCGTGAACAATCCGAACAATGCGCCTCCAGCGGCAGCAACAGGTTTCCTGCCCTTCATCTCAGTCTCCTTCTCGCTCAGCGAGCTCTCAACGCCAGCGCCAGATGTGTGAGCCTGCTCAGACGAGTCTTGTCGCAAAGGATCTGTTATAGGGATGTCGATGGTAGGAATGAGTTCTTCGTCGCGTACGCCTTGCGCAGCATCTGGCTTCTGGATCGGAGTATCGGAGGAGTACGTTGCTACGGGAGGGTATTCAGGTAGATCAGCCTCGGGCGTAGGAAGCAACGAAGGCAGGGCTGCTTGTAGTGGAACCTGCACTCCACCATGATGCAAGTACGGAACGAGTGGCACTGACTAGTTAGCTTTCATCCGTAAGCTCCGAATAAAGACGCCACAGCGTAATCCCGTACGGAATATCTGAAGCCGGTACTGCCGGTATGCTGACAAAGAAGCTGCGGGTGACAGGTATGATTGCCATGAACAGCAGTGGATCAGCCTCGCGCTGGGCAACGCAGGGAACAGCCGCAATGATGAGCGACGCTGTAACTGCGAGAAGGCCCACCAGGGCTGGATTTGAGCTAATGGCACGCTCGAAATCCGGCGGGGAACGGACACGGCGGAAGGTACTGATGGCCCGAAACGGTGTTGTATGGCCGGACTTGGGCGGGAGCAGACTTACTGATGGAAAGTAGATAAGCGCAGGCAGCCGATTGGCGCTAGAGCCACGTCGGGGAGATGCACAATGGTTAGTAAAAGAATGCGATCAATATATATCAAGCAGGAACGTATGCAGTAGATGTTTTGTGCAGAGTGGCGCACAGTGGTGGTTGAAGCGTTCTGGATGGTTGCCGGCTGGGCGTACGTCGTCAGCGCTAGCTGGGGACGATGCGGGAGGCCTCGGTAGGCAAGCGGCTCTCCATGCCATGAACCTAGCATCCAGGCACGGCCTATCGATACAACACGTTATCGATAGAGAAGCCATGTGTGCAGGTCGTGCAGGTTGTGCAGTCTGTTCTGTGTCCCTGTATAGCCAGCCTGGCTGTGGACGGCACATCAACACGTCAGACGTGGCCTCACTTGCGGGCAGCCATCCTGTGCTGCACCCAGTTGCAACGCGAGACGCATGCAGATGCAAAAGACTTCTCTACCCTCCATAGAACAGGACATGTCGTTGACCATCCATCCTAGTGCAATGCATGCTGTATGCACGCCCAACTTTAGGCTCATTCCCCGCCCTTCCGCAGCTCAGTGCCAAAAAGACATGCATGGCGCTGAGACATACAGGCTCAGCCCGGCATAAACGCAAAAAAAGAATAGTTGTCTCCGCTCCCAGAATCGAACTAGGGACCTTTCGATTACAATTGCAATTACAGTCGAACGTGATAAACCAACTACACCAAGCGGAGTTGTACGACTTTTCAGCCGTGCTTGGACTTGTGATGTGAGAAGCTGAGACAACAATGTTTATATTGCCAACAAAATTTCTGTGCCACAAATCCGAGCCAAAGATCGGTTCGAAAACTTCGGCTATAAATCACCATCTTCCAATGCCTTTCGACTGACCCCACTGCGCTGCATTTTCTATCACCTTGAGCTTTTGAACGCGCCCAGCACCATGACTAACATCGAAGATGACGAATGGGAGTACGAGTACGATGAGACCGAAACGGAGGACTTTTATATTCCCCTGGATCTTTCCAATGTTCCAGCAGCTCAGATCCCTATGGTGTCGCAAAGTAGGCCGGGCCATCCAACTTTGCTCAAAAGCCGACTGCGCGCGCTGAACGCAGCCCGAGGCCAGCCGGTCGAAGTCGCAGCCGGTGCAAATGCCCGACAAGAAACGGCCAACATGGGCGAAGTGCAAGTGATTGGACTGCACACGCCGAATCCATTGGTTATGTATAACGGCCAGTTGTTGAGTTGCCATTGGACCTCGACTATCGGAACCGACATGTTCTTCGTGAAACCGGATGCGGATGCGGACACGACCCAGCCATTACGATCTTTGCCATCGGTCGACTTGCTATCTCTGGGTTCTGCCAAATTGGTTGCAAAAGTTGGACGACTGCGGCCGCGCGATGATGTCAAGCACGCCGATGACGTGCAACAGCCGACTGAATATTTGCAAGGTGCGGGTAGTAGTTCAAGTCAGGCCGCTGTGACTTCCGGTGAAAGTGAAGGACAGCGATCCGGTGGCGAGGCCAAGCCAACGTCGACAAACTTTCTCGCAAGACTAAACGAGGCAAAATTGAAGAGAGGGGAGAAGTCGCAATTGGCAGTCTCCAAAACATCCGACGGGTCCCGCCTAGTTGCGGAGAAAGCAGATGTTGTGGCCGGAGCCTCGTCGCAAGAAAACGGCGACACGGCCATGGGAGGCGTATGAAAAATACGGAGCAGAGAGAACAAACCCGGGGAATTGTGCGGCATATCAGCTCCTCGCTGAAACAAGGGGACATTCGTCACAACTTGTCAAAGGTGCTCCCTGACATCACTGAGCAGCGAAGTGGCTAAGATTGACGTTTGCAGCCTGACTGGAAGTACTTAGCAAAATGCTTGTTACGTGAATGACGTGGGAGGGTAACATCATTGGGAACGAGCCCTTGAGCAGACCACTGCGGGGCTTTGATGTATTGCGGCTTCCTCCCGCCTCCGAGAGTCAGGGTCTTCGTCCTGGCAGGACCAACCCTGGACATCTGCATTTGGGATGCATGAGCAAACAGCTTCTGCGAAAATGTGCTGTAGACACTGCGTCGCTCGCCTATTATCCTAATATCTCATTCAAGATTCATCCCAGACCTATCCCCTATAATCCTCCCCTACGTATTGTTCATGCAGAGACCTGTAGACAGACGGAATGTGGAAACCATAATTGATCAGGCGTTGGAAATAGCCAAAGTGAAGGGCCGCTATTTGCAGTGTACAGCTGATGAGAGCAATGAGTACTTGGAACGCATCGAGGACAATATACACCAGGCACAGGATGACAGTATCATATCTGAAGACACTGAAAGAACAATCTCAGAAGAGGTGGCAGATTGGCTCGAGTCTCAGGAATGCGACGAGTTCTGGAAATCTAGACTACGGCAGCCGCGCTTGGTAGTAAGCGACATTACCCAAGTGTCTAGTTGGTATATCTGACCTTGTCAGATACCTAGTGCACTTCAGTTCGCCAGGCATATCAAAACAAGTGCTACTCTCCAAGTTGCGCCCTGCAGTGGTCTCATTTCATTCGAGGCGCTTTTACATTTGATCGCCTTAGAGTTACTAGCAGCTTGCTACACGTCATCATCAGGCTTAATCACAAGCTGTGTTCCTCATCTGGACCGACACAAGAATACAAAACCTACTACAGCACTGCGTTCATATTCGCAATCTCTGTTTTCTCCAGCTTTTAGTCGCCACGCTTGTCCATCTTCGGAAACAAGTTTTTGGCCAGGTCTTTTTATGGGACCGTCGCTCGAAGAGATAATAGCAGAGCACGATAGTCGTAGGCACCGTCGACAGAAATATCAGGAACATCATGTTTTGGATCTTTCTGGAACTGACTGGACAGATGGACCGCACCCAGAAGCGATGCGCATGGAGCTAGACAGCAAACTGTCAAAAGCCAGCTCGAGCTCTTCAATGGGACATGAGCCAGGGTTTCTCTCTCAGCTGGTATGCCAAACAGTAGTACCCAGGAGCCATCGACGGAAGTACATTGCCATGTTATTGGACAGAATGTCATCAGGGTGGAAGAGACAAAAGCAATAGTGGGCTGAGCTTAAGCCTCGTCAACATAATGACCAAACGTCCTCTCCTAAAATCACCAATGGGCGACCTCTACAGCCTACACCATCCGTACTTCGCCTTCGTCCTACACAATCTGCGCCATCAATTGCAGTAGAGGAAGATGTGTCCGCCAAGAATCCTTATGCCTCGAGGCGATGCAGCTCTGATCCATCTGATGGCACTCCTCTCACGCATCGCTTCCAGATCCCCGATATCCGGCGCATCTCAGAAACAACATATGGGAGTCAGTCTCATGATTCATCGACAACCGACTCCGTACGTGCTTGCGAACGTGGGGATCTTACAGTCGCTCATGATCACTTTGACGATACACCAGATGGCCCATATACAGCACGTCAGCAACAGAATCAGTGGAAGATCCTGCGTTGGCGACACAATGATACTAGTCTTCTATCCCCATCCGCTGTCCTCTTACGAATGAAGTCTACTCCGTCAAGCCAGACTGTTCCAGAGAGTGACTATTTTGGGCAGGCTCATATTGGTAGACGCACGACGGATGAGAAAGACGAGTGCGGGACTGTTGCAACGGAAGATGGCGGCACACGCTCTGTAATCAAAAATAGTATTGGAGCCCAACATTCCATGAAAGGGCCAGGCGACAGTGACAAATTGAACCAAAAGAAGCCAAGAAAGGTCAACGTATCATCAATGCGGGGATGTGAGTTTCGAACGCCGTCTCGAGGCAAAACAAGAGAAGAACTCGATCATTATTCTGCTAAGATAGGTTGGTAACGCCTTATGTTCATGGGGACGTTTTTGTAATCAGCAGCCTTAGCCTTGTTGTACAATTCAATCGTAAAGGCCGTCTCTCATAAAGATGACCTGTAAAATCTAAAGACCAAAGTATCTCTCATCCCTAGAATCGGGTTCTCAAAATCATTCTTCTTCCTTTCATGCAGCTTGAAGCCAACCTTTGTCAATACATTTTGACTTGAAACCAACTCCGGGTCCGTGTGTGCTTCTGCGTATTCGTATCTCGGTGCCAACCGCTTGCCATTGTCCGTGCAGCCATTGGTGCCGTTCCCGTTTTGTGTACTGCCGTTGCTTGACGGTCCATTTGCACCTTCATCCCGGTAATCTGCAATGCAATTGCCGGAATAGTGTTCGAAAAACATGGGCATGAACGCACGCAATGCTTCCGTGGCGTATCCTTTCCCCCAGTACGAAGCATTGAACATGTATCCTACTTCTGGTGCGCGGACAGCACCAATGAGGCCAATGACATGTGGACCATCGTGAGGCTCCAACAGGACGACTGCGAAATTCCAATTGTGTTCAACCTGGTGGCACTGCGAAGCTACTAGTTAGCCTACAAACATACCCCAAAAAAGCTATCCGAGGTAGGAAAATGCTTCTTACACCTTGTATCCATGCCTTTGTAGCTTCAATGTTGTCCGAGGGGAGAGTGGATGTATGTATCATGACCTCCGGATGCCTGCGCATCTCCAATACGTCATCTGCATCTTCGATGCGCAACGGGCGGAGCAGCAACCGTTCCGTCTTGACGAATAGCCCGGGGTCAACCACAACCATCTTTTTCGCAAGCTTCAGGAAGAAAGTGGTATCGAGAGCAATCTCATCATAATATATATTTGTTGGCACAGTGTGTGCGCGCATTTAAAAGAGTCAGATTGGCAGTCGTCTGTGGCACCCAGTTGGAACAACTGGCGGCGCACAGGGCTGAGCTGGTACCTTGTCATTGTAGCCTAATAAAAGAGAGCATTTGTTAGGAAAAAGGACGCTAAACCGGTTTCCCTTCGACGCCGATATCCCCGAAGCTTTCTCAACCACAGCTGTCAAACTACTACACCGCATCCAGCACACAACGGCCAATCAAAGATGCTCCTCTTGAGGGTCTTCATCTTACATCATTTATAGCAATCGCTGTCTTCGTCACTTCGTCGGAAACGGCTTCCAGACTCTCTTTTTTTGTTGGCCCTTCGCTCTCCCTCCCGGTCCCCCCCTCCCCTTACCCCCGCATGTCGAATTCAATTCTATCCGCTTCCGCGAAGGGAGCCACTTTTCTCATCCTGCTGCAGGTTGCCTCGCGCGCCCTTACATTCGCTGTCAACCAGGTTCTGCTGCGATTTCTCTCACCGGAGCTGCTCGGCGTTTCAGCCCAGCTCGAGCTCTTCTCCATATCGGTGCTGTACTTTGCGCGAGAAAGCTTACGCGTGGCACTGCAGCGTCAGGCGCATGGGACGCAGGCAGTAATCAATCTCTCGTATCTCGCCGTTTTCCTGGGCACGCCGCTGGCGTATGTGCTTGCGTTGCTGTGGTTCCGGTCGGAGACGCCTAATGTGCCGTTCTTTGCAGAAGCACTGTTTATCTATGGCTTGGCTACCTTTCTCGAGTTGCTTAGCGAGCCTGCGTTTTCAGCAGTCCAGCAGAAGCTTCTTTATAAAGTCCGAGCGTCGGCTGAGAGTTCTGCCACCCTGTTGCGATGCGTCGGAACTTGCGGGTCTGCTATTCTAGCTAGCCGTGCTGGTCTCGATATCGGGGTTCTTCCGTTTGCTGTTGGGCAGTTGGCTTACGCCGTGGCGTTGCTTGTTATGTATTCGTACAAGACATGGCCCGTTGCAAAGGCGGACGGGTTTTCGCTTTTCCCGGAGAGAATACCTTCAACTCAAGAGAATCCTGTCTTCATGACCTACTTCTCTGCTCCTTTGCTTCGGCTCACTGCATCTCTTAGCCTTCAGTCAGCGCTCAAATATGTTCTTACTCAAGGCGATTCTCTTTTGATCACGACTCTCGCATCGCTTGCAGACCAAGGTGCCTACGCACTCGCATCAAACTATGGAGGTTTGATTGCACGCATGCTCTTCCAGCCCATTGAAGAGAGCAGTCGCAACATGTTTGCGAAACTCTGTGCCAATACAAAATCAACAGCACCCGCTAGGGAAAAGAAGAAGCTGGAAGAAACAAACGAACAGCAGCAAAACTTAGCTCAAGCTTCCAGAGTGCTTGGTACCATCCTTCACCTCTACGGCATCATATCTTTATTCGCCGTCACACTAGGCCCAGTGCTAGCTCCTACACTCCTTTCCATTGTCGCGGGTCAGAAATGGTCGGCAACATCTGCATCAAAGGTCCTTTCGACATACTGCTACTACATTCCATTTCTCGCCATCAACGGTGTGACGGAAGCATTCGTAGCCGCCGTTGCTACTAACAAAGAGCTGTATGCACAGTCAGTTGCCATGGGTATCTTCTTCGCCCTTTTTGCAGGGAGTGCATGGTTTTTCATCGGTCAGCTTGAAATGGGTGGTAACGGCGTAGTGCTGGCCAATACTGTTAACATGGCTCTGCGTATTGTTTGGAATACGTGGTTCATTGGACGATTCTTTTCGCAGAATGGTTCGGGATTTAGTATACTGCAGACAGTGCCTTCGCTTACTGCTGCGGCTCCTGCAGTTGTTGTGCCGACTCTCATGCGGACGAAGCCAGGTATTTACTTTCTGGGACGATTTGGGGTGCTGGGTGAGTTGGTGAGTATGGGAGTTGTAGGCGGGATATATGTGCTGCATGTGCTGTTTTTTGAGCGTGGCTTTTTGGTGGATTGCTATCGCATGTTGAGGCCTTCTCGAGTACCCGATGTGGTTGAGAAGAAATCAAAATGAAGGGAAAATGTATTGAGTAGATAAGAATCAGAGACTCCCATGTATGGGTTTTGGTAGCAAGACGTTGGTATGAAAGACAATTTATCATTCAACCAACATGCATGTAAATCTACCGGCATTGGGTCAAATATTTTTATGTTGCACATGGGACTACTACCACCACAACAGCAAAAATCCGGGGCATCCGCTCTCTATGTGAGAAAAAAACTTCTTCAATGCTACTCTACAATCCAGTTGAATCTTCGATTCCAATTCGAAACACCATCCAAGTGGGTCCCCACGTGATTAGTCACAGCCCCACTCCATATCGATTACCAAGTTTTCCCCCTCATTGTTACTCAATGGAGAACAACAACCCCAAGTTTCAACAAAAAAACGTCACTCTGCTCGCATCGGGGCCACACACACACACACACCACACTCCAACAACTCACCCCGCCTCCTCACAAACCCCAACCAACCCGCATCCCGATCACCACTCTCTCCAATTTTTTTCTCACGCATCACGAGAACAAGGCGCAGGGCAAATAAAGAAGAGCTCCATAGGATATTATTTTTTCTCAAGTAATCTGGGGGTAATAGAAACTAGGTTTCCTTGGACTAAAAAAAAAACCTGGGGAGGGGGGGGAGAAAAGCACGGCCGGAAATCAAATTATCGCTGGGGGTTTTGCATCAAAGGCCAGGGTTTTTACTTACCTACTTACTATTAACTTTTTTGTTTTAGTTTGCAGAGACGGACCGCTAAGCGAAGTTTCCTGGGGGTAAGAGAAACTACCTAACCATCGACCGGGGGGACGCCAAAACAACGTTAAACAACGCACAACGTGGGCTTTGATCACGCCATTTAGCTCAAGAGGAAAAAAAAGTTTTTTTTCCTTTCACTTTGAAACTGGACTATTGTTCGACAATTGGAACTTATTGGTTTGCGTCTTTTAAAAAATCTTGGCCTCTGCAACACATACGCACACGCACTCGAGTTGACGCCATCGAAACCATGGTTACAACAGACGAGTCACGGCACTTGCATGGGCTGGTGGACATGGGGAGTAACGGGATCCGCTTTTCGATTACGGATCTTACCCCAGCAACGCAACGGGGACTCCCGACTCTGTATCTGGACCGTGCGGCGATATCGCTGTACGATGCGCAGTTTGAAGACGGCAAGCTCGTTCCGATACCCCAGGCGACGATCAGACAGGTAGTCAAGTCGCTGCTGCGCTTCAAGGCTACGTGTGAGGATTTTGGGGTGCCTGAGAGTCAAGTGCGGATTGTGGCTACGGAGGCTACAAGGAAGGCGGTTAATTCGGAAGAGTTCCGCAACGAGATTCAGAGGGCGACGGGGTGGGAGGTGGAGCTTTTGTCCAAGGAGATGGAAGGCCGGATTGGGGCGTTTGGGGTTGCAAGTTCGTATCACAAGGTCACGGGACTCATGATGGATTTGGGGGGTGGGTCGACGCAGATCAATTGGATTGTTACGTCGACGCAGTACGATCGGATTGAGATGTGTGAGAAGGGGAGTGCAAGTCTACCGTACGGTGCTGCGGCGCTCATGAAGAGACTTGAGGAAGCTGGTTCTCATGGCAGCAAAGGGTTCAAGGCTTTTGAAAGCGAAGTCATTGCCGACTTGAAAGGAGCGGTTGAGGATATTCGGATTCCCCAACATCTGCTTGATCGATGCGAGTCAGAAGAGGGTCTTTCTCTTTACCTGTCTGGAGGTGGATTTCGAGGCTGGGGCTTTGTGCTCATGTCTACGCATCCCGTCCAGCCATATCCCATTCCAATCATCAATGGGTTTCGGACAACTAGTGATGTCTTTCACGATACACACGCTGTACAGGCTGCTGTCAAGCAAGAAGACACACCAGAAATCTTTCGCGTGTCAGCACGTCGGGCCAGTCAAGTTCCTGCCGTTGCCTTTTTGGTTTCGTGCCTGTCCAAAGCACTGCCGAGCATCAAGAACGTCTACTTTTGCCAGGGCGGCGTAAGAGAGGGAATGCATTTTGCGGAGATGGAGCCGGCGAGCATGTCCGATGCGCCAATTGTCAATGCGACAAGAGCGTATGCGCCGGCTTCTAGTCCGGAGTTGATGGACCTGTTGCGGAGAGCGGCAGTGGCTCCGCCATCGGCGGCGCGCAAGGAGCTGTTTAGCAACAGCATGATGAGGGCCTTCACGTACACCATGTTTGCGCACAGAGGCCAAGTTAAGGATCTCCGCAGTGGGTCTGCGCTAAGGAGTACCACGACAGGCATCTTCTCTGCCGGGCACGGTCTTAGCCACGAGGAACGCGCCACGCTCGCCATTCTCCTGTGTGAGCGTTACGGGGGGGACAGCACAATCAGCCCCACCGAACAGGACTTTTATCACCGAATGCTGCAGCTTGTTCCCGAGGACCTGAGGTGGTGGTGCAGGTACCTGGGGAGCGTTGCCGGAGTGCTTGCAAGTGTATATCCCGCGGGGACCGTCCGGCAGAGCCGCGTCCAGGTCAAGGTGGAGTGGGCGAGTAGCAAAAAGGACAAAGAGAGGCTTTGGATTGATTTTGAGTTTGGGCACGAGCCGGACGATCTGGACGAGGGACTGCAGGCGGCGCTGAAGAGAGTGGAGAAGGTGGGCAGGAAGAAGAAGTGGATCGGAGGACATGGATACAAGGTGGTGTTGACTGTAAACGGACACGGCTATGGCGAGGAGGACGAGTAGAAGTGAATGAAGCAACGGTAGTGTGCGTGATTGTCATGGGCGCTCGAGTGATTTTGCCGCGTTGGGCTCGTCATGGCGAGGGACAATGGCGACGAGACGGCCGTCTGGGCCATGGACGCGGTCTCGACGCTGTGCAACCGACAGCTGACAGGCAAAAGAAGGGATCGTGACTCGGCGACTGGGTGCAAGCGGTGAGGTGGAGGTGGAGGAGAGAGGGCAACGGCCGCACGTGCAGCAGAGGCCCCGTCCCAAGGGGCCACGTACAGTCATGGAAACGCCGTGG